CCAAATATTTTCATAATGTCTAAGGTCCCTCAATTTGATCTAGAGAAATTTCATCCAGAGAATTTCTCTGGACTTCCCAGAGAATTTCTCTCCAGAGAAATTTCTCTCAAGAATTTCTCTGGCTTCTGAGAGAATTTCTCTAGGAGGTTTCTCTATTTCTCTGGACCTCCCAGTGAATTTCTTAGAGAAAATTTACACAATGGCCAAAAACCCAAAGAATTTCTTTGGATAGAAAATTTCTCCAGAGAAAATGAATGAAGAATTTCTCTGGATTACTTTAAGCCAGAGAAATTTCACCAACAATGGTATGAAGTTCATGGCTTACTTCCTAATGATGATCATATCATAAATGTTACTCACAAAAAGCTTGAAAGCCTCATAAAATCCAAAAAAATTGAATTTCTTTCCAGAGAAATTCTAGACTTTCCAAAAAAAAAAATTCTAGATTCAAACCAGAAAAAATTCAAAACATTCAATTTTCTATGAATTTCTCTGGCTTGAAAATTTCAATTTCTCTGAGCCTAGTACAACTCTATGACTCGTCTAGGTTGGCTTCTTCCTCCCCCTTCCCTCACTCTCTCTGTTTCTTGTTTTATATCTTTCTTCCAAGATTCAAAATCAGAACAAGACATAGCATAAGACTAAAAAAATTTCAACAATTTTCCCTAGTTTTGGCAACAACTAAACAAACAAACACAAGGCCAAGGGAATTAAAAAAGAAAAAACAAGAACAACCTGATATCAACACCACCTTTAATGATATATCTGGAAACATTTTGGCGGACCCACTGATCAGAAGCAACAGTGGAGGAGCTGATGAGAGACAACATCTCATTGGGAATCCCAACCATGAGTTGAATCCCAGTACCCATGAGAGATTTGACAACATCAGGGCGACATCGAAGAGCTTCACTTTCTGGATGTTGTATTTGAGGAGATCCACCACCGTCAATGGAGACAGCTTGTGGAGGGACATTGTCCCCCAGTTCACACCTAATCCTGATTCCGCAACCGTTGTCGACCAGCTCCAACCATGAGTTGAATCCCAGTACCTATGAGAGATTTGACAACATCAGGGTCGGCATCGAAGAGCTTCAGTTTCTGGATGTTGTTGTATTTGAGGAGATCCACCACCGTCAATAGGGTCCAAGGAAATGTTTGCAATTTTCCAATTATAATTATAGCAGTATACAACCAGTATGTAATAGGAATGGGAGAACCTAGATTCCATAGTTGACAATTCTTTTGAGACCTCGTTCCAATTAGACAGAGAAGAAACATGCGTGCAAAAAAACCACAGTGGGTATTGACTAAAATTCAATTGGAACTTAGCCAACAATCAAAACATTTAAGTGGTAAGTCGCAAAAGAGAACATTTTCTAGAGGATATGAAAGCCACAAGCTAGTGAGTCAATTAATCCTTTTACAACAACAAAACCAAAGTTAACTTAGTAACTTGAAATGTAAAACTATTGCAAGTTACAAAACTCCAGGTCACCAAACCAAACTTAGTAAGTTGAAATTTAACCACATACCTCACGAATAAGATGACAAACTTCATCTTTTATCTTTTGTGCTGTACCATCCAATGCAATCTTGGCAACATCTTGTTCTGCAGCCTTTCGATTTGAAAATGTGAATGGAGATGTGTAGTATGCTCCATTTACTAGAACAGTAGACCTAAACCTTGGCGGATTCTGGCCTTCTACCTTAATTGTATTATATACTGGGAGGTCTATGGCTGATCTTTGAGTGTACTCTTGCAAACGGTTCTTGTACATTAAGTGTTCAGGGAGATCTAGCAAAATAAGGCAAATAAATTATACCAAAATACAATTTGTTAGTTACAGTGAATTGAAAGCTTTACTACTTAAATAAGAGTGATGTCGAATTGAAATGCAAACCCTAATTTTCTAATGGCAATCGATAATGAACTAGTGAATTTTCAGGCATTGCAACCCTATCCTACTTTCAAAAAGTAATAAGATCAATGAAAAAATTCAGTTGAAGAAAAAAGCAAAGCTGCAAGGTTGTCACATCACATAAGTATGAAAATCTCACTATAGAAAAGTGAACAGTCCACATATAGTAAAGGCTCTAAATGCAAATTTTGGCAGATGTATTTCAAGAAGCTGCATAATATGATGGGAGAATTCTCGAAGTATAACACAAACATACCAATAGGTACATACACACACATATAGATAAATATATACTAAGAAGCACGAACACATTTAAAAAGGTGGCATGTCAGTGTCGGACCCTGACACTCGCCGGACACTTCCCGACATATGTCCGACACTCATCCAAACGCGTCTTATTTTTTTAAGAAAAAAATTAGACTCGGTCACTTGAAGGACACACGTATCCATTACTTAAACACACGTGTCCATTGATCAGACACACGTTACGGAAATACAATGAAAACTTAGAAATTTTATATACACCTACATTGAGTTAAATGACTAAAATATCATTTTTTAGAATACAA